TCCTATACCATAATGTCCGTCTGTCCATCCGTCCGTCCGTCCGTCTGTGTGTCTAGGACGAAATTTTCAAAATGTCGCAATCATAGTTATAGAATCAATCGATAATTATCTAAGTCTATATAGGGCTACCATTCAAAATTTGTTCTATCTTGTACTACAATGTCCGTCTGTCCATTCCTAATATGTTGAAATCTTAGTTATAACAAAAGTCCAAATATAAAGCTATCTTTCGAATTTAATTATATCCTGTAACTCTACATCTCTACATCCTCTACAGAAAATCACTTTTATAATAAATTATTTAAATATTTTGGAATTATGATAAAATACAACTAAATGCCGTATTCCTCCCACTTGTTGGATCTAAAAATACTTAATTCAACATTCTAAAACAATTTTCGTTATTTTAATAGAAATGTAGTGGCTTTAGTTTTAGTCTTATTTTTCAAATAACAGTTTTATTTTGAAAAGATAAATTTTAAATTTAGATTTTCTTAAATCTGCACAAATTGAAGTACGTTTAGGTAATTTATAAACCCACATACAACATTTGGTATAGACATTTATATATATTTTTTTTTGATTATATATGGTTATATATACTTGCAACATGACAGCAAATCATGCCTCTTAAATGTATTATTTTGTTAATACCCTACGTTAGGTTAATGAATATAAAGTTTGTCAAATGCAACCGGAAAATACTCAGAATATGCAACCAGATACATGCTGCAATACATGTTAAAAACTATTTACAAAGAGGTGAAGTTTTATCTCAGCCGCCTTATAGTTAGGACCACGTCCAGTCTGACTAGAATCCATGGAAAAGATAATAAGAAATCATTGCTAAAGATCATTGTCCAAATGTTTCAAAATAAAACTTAAAAGTTTGAAAACATGACACATATAATAGTGATAAAGAACATTTAAAATTCGTCTAGAATGGTTACAAAACTCTTTGGTCTTAAGTATATATTGTAAATCATATGCAAAGACAATTTTACCCACATTCAGTAATAATTTTTTTTGACATTTTTCTAAAATTGTGTCATCAAATTTCTAAAAGACCTACATATGTTCATATCCAACAAAACAAGATATACTTATGTACATTTGTATATACATATATAGAAACAAAAATAGAAACCATGTAAATAATCTTTCAGTTGTTTACACAGAAATAATACATACAGAATAATACACGCAAAAATTTCATACATAAATCAAGTTATACATTCATATATTTGAAAAATTTCACATTTCATTCTCATTCCCATTATAATAGTACTACACTGATGCTACTGCTGTTGATGATGATGATGACGATGATCTCCATCATCATTGTATGACACATGTTGACAACAAATCTAAGTTATTTTAATGGTGACATACTGTCTCCAAGTTGTATTCTATCTGTTTCATATTCATTTTGTATATTAGTATGCGTGTCGTCTCTACATGTTGTATAACTACTATGTTTGTCATGTAGACTTATTGTACAAGATATCCTGTTGCTTTTTAAAACATTATATGTACAATAAACTGAAGATATAATACAGTTATATGCAATAGGTTGGTCCTTGTATAAAAGTTGAGTTCAGAAGTACATATCTAGAACTTAATGTCTCAAATGTTGTTTTCATTTCAAAATTAAAACTGTCAATTTTCTCAAGCTCATATCTTGCCAACCGTTCGGAATTTCGATTTACTCTCTGAGGCAAAGTTGTAGCTCTTGTCATAAAGAACAAATATATTGAGCATATACATCTTGTTTTTTTCATTTCAAGTGAAAAAATTTGCTTTGTGAAATTGCATTACTTTTATTAATGACACCTGTACGTATACGTGTTAATTATTTATTGATATTACAAATATTAAGTATACGCCTAATTTAGAGAAACACTTGAAACATTTTTTTTAAATAAACATTAGCTTTTATATTGTGCAATATTGTTGTTGGCCTGTGTATCAATAATAAGTTAAACGATTCTCTCTTACAAAGTATGGGGCTATTGGTCCTTGGATTTCGAAATTTACTATAAATTATCTTTGCACTATCATTTGTTTTTCTTATAAACTAGTACACCCCTATTACTATATGTGTATTTCTAAATAGAGCATTTGACACAATTGTCTAGTATTATAATCTCACACAATTAAATTTGTGTTTTAAAAGGAATTTAAAACATTTATCACAAAAGACTATCGGATAGCTTGAAAGCTATTTAAAAATTACAAATTGGGCTGTATAACATTTTAAGAATTGTGTCATTTTTCACATTCTTTTTACACAGCATATTGCAATTATTGATTTATTGAGTTAGTGAAACAAATCATTGCAAAAAACTAGTCATCGACAAAGAGCTCCTCTGCTTTCACACAAGGGTTATGTTTGGTTGATAGAATCAGATCCGATAAACTATATCTAACGCGCTAATGTGAAATGTTAAGTTTCCAGAATATAGCTCCTTAAATTTTTTTATCCTTATGGAAAATGTTATTTTTTGCTGCAAAAAAAATTAAGTTTTAAACAATTATTTGTGTAATATTTTGTAAATACAAACAGTTACAAAATGTCACATACAGAGTATCTACTTTCTCATTACGTAGTAGTCAACCAGACAGACTGTGACACAAAGAGGTCTATTAGATAAATACACGTGTTGGTTCTTTTTGTTTTGTTTATTTTCTTTTCTTCTTTTGTTTTGATTATTTTCCTTTGTGGGTCGTTTAGATGGATTCTCATCATAGATGAATGTAATTTTTTAAATGTGATGAAATTTATAAGAGATGTTGCTTGTTTAAGGAAAAGACAGAGAGAGAACTGTGATAGCAAAAACGAGTTTTTAAAGCTGGAAAATATGAATTAATAGTGAGAGCAAAATCTGTAATAATAAGAGAATATTTTAGTTAATAACTTAATAAAGAGCAATGGATAAAAGACATGCTGCTAAGAGGGTCAAAAACATTATAAAAATTTAATAAGTTTAAATTTTGTTGTGGTATAACGTTTTTCACTTTTAATTGTAATATTATATCTGTATACATAAGCCTGACCATACAAGATCCTGTAACAAGCGTGTTAACGTAAATAACTCTATATGGAAGCTATTTCAATTACAGGACGTTATAAAAAAGATATAGAAAAAATCATTAACGATCAGTGTTCTATTCGCAAATTTTGGGGTTCTTGTCTGTTATACCATAGGTCGTGGGTTCGATTCCCACCAGAGGGACAGGTAAACGATAATGTTCCTCCTTTGGGTTAGTAGTAACTGCTCTAGTCGGTTAGATCGGATATATTGGGTTCGGTTCCTATCAGAGAGACAGGTAAAGGATCGGATGTAGTTCTCCTGGTTTATACCAACTAACTAAGTAACTAACTAACTAACTAACTAACTAACTAACTAACTAACTAACTAACTAACTAACTAACTAACTAACTAACTAACTAACTAACTAACTACTAACTAACTAACTAACTAACTAACTAACTAACTAACTAACTAACTACTAACTAACTACTAACTAACTAACTAACTACTAACTAACTAACTAACTAACTAACTAACTAACTAACTAACTAACTAACTAACTAACTAACTAACTAACTAACTAACTAACTAACTAACTAACTACTAACTAACTAACTAACTAACTAACTAACTAACTAACTAACTAACTAACTAACTAACTAACTAACTAACTAACTACTAACTAACTAACTAACTAACTAACTACTAACTAACTAACTAACTAACTAACTAACTAACTAACTAACTAACTAACTAACTAACTAACTAACTAACTAACTAACTAACTAACTAACTAACTAACTAACTAACTAACTAACTACTAACTAACTAACTACTAACTAACTAACTAACTAACTAACTAACTAACTAACTAACTACTAACTAACTAACTAACTAACTAACTAACTAACTAACTAACTACTAACTAACTAACTAACTAACTAACTAACTAACTAACTAACTAACTAACTAACTAACTAACTAACTAACTAACTAACTAACTAACTAACTAACTAACTAACTAACTAACTAACTAACTAACTAACTAACTAACTAACTAACTAACTAACTAACTAACTAACTAACTAACTAACTAACTAACTAACTAACTAACTAACTAACTAACTAACTAACTAACTAACTAACTAACTAACTAACTAACTAACTAACTAACTAACTAACTAACTAACTAACTAACTAACTAACTAACTAACTAACTAACTAACTAACTAACTAACTAACTAACTACTAACTAACTAACTAACTAACTAACTAACTAACTAACTAACTAACTAACTAACTAACTAACTAAATAACTAACTAACTTACTAGAAACTTCGCGTGTTGCAATGGGCTTTATCTTATCACAACTTTGTCTAATTTTTTCCTTAAAAATAGTGCAAAACCTTACAATTCCAGCAATATAATTTAAAATTTATCTTTTTTTCTTAATTAGCCGGAAAATATGCTTTAACATTTTTTGAATCTTTATAATGTTTGGTGTTAACATTTAACACATTCCATTTTAGTGTTAAAAATATAAGTTATACAAAAGGGTTTCATAAAAAAATGGTGTAAAACATACACATGCATAAAGTTACGGCTTGACAGATGAACAGGAAACTTAATTTCCTTTGAGAATATCCGGTCTTTTAATTTTGTTTTGTGCGGCGTTTTTGGAGATATTTTAAAACAAAAAAGATTTAATCAAAGTTTTTTTTTTGATACAAAAATAAACACGAAATGATAGCAAATAAAAATAACAAAAGGAAATGAAAGAAAATTTTATGAATTGAATTAATTCTAGAGCAAAAAAATTAAGAGAAATAAAAAGCAAAACACTAAAGAAAAAGAGCATTTGCTTAAGAGTAAACAAATTAAATAATAAAAGAGAAATTTTTGTTTTGTTTTTTATTATTTTGGTATTATAAATATAAGGAAAATATAAAATCTCTAGTTAGTTGATAAAGGTTGCACGTACGCGCAAGATGTGTTAAAAACGTGAAATAGCGGTAAAATAAAACAAAACGGAAATACGTAAACAAACTACTAACGGTAACACAAACAAGCATAAACATGCTGACAAACATATATATATATAGCAATATAAAACTATATATATATTTAAACTAATACCACTAAATACGTATCAAAATGCAACTACTACTACCACTACTAACATACTAACACGGATTGCGAATAAAATAAATTATAATGAGTGTATTATAACAAAGTTTTATGAATGAATGAAAATTTATTTGGCGGAACGTAAAAACAAAGTTTTTTTTTCTATAAAATATTAATAGTTAGGTGAAAAAATCATAAAGTGTGAATTTAATAAATAAAATGCTAATATGTGTTTTATTTTTTTTTTTTTTTTAAAAAGTTAAATATTGAAATAAATTTCGCAAAAAAAAAAAAAAATAGATAAAATTATAATGAGCAAACAAGTGTCTAACAATTGTACGTTTACTAAACAATTATAAAAGTAATTGAAATGAAATGTGTGAATGTTTTTTTATAAATAAGTGCAACAAAATTAAGGGATTAAATAATTCAAAATTGTAGATAATATTTTATATAAATTATATCTACTACTGTAATAAAGACAGTATTTAGCGTTTATATTGAAGTTTGTAACAATAAATCGATTAAATGGCCAAATTTCTTTAAATAGAAAATTTTTGAAAAAATTTCCCTTAATAAGAAAAAATCTTCTATATAGAGAACACTTAAAAAATTTTGTTAAAAAAACAGTTCAATAATTTTTCTATAAATAGAAAAATTGGTCAAACATTTTCTATAATTGGAAATCTTGTCAATAAAAATTGGTCGAATATATTCTAAAAAGAGAAAATTTGTCGTAAACTGGTCATTATTTTTCTATAAGTAGACAACTGGTCTAAAATTTTATGTGAATAGAAAACAGGTCGAAAATTTTTTATAAATAGAAAACTTGTCGAACATTTTTTAAACGGAAAATATGTGAAAATTCTTTAAAAATAGAGAACTGATCGATTCTGTTCTATAAATAGGAAACTGGTCGAAAATTTTAAAAAATTAGAAAATTAGTTGAAAATTTTTTTTAACAGAAAAAAAATGGTCGAGAATTTTCTATAAACAGTTCCTAGAAAACTGATTAAAAATTGTCTATAAATAAAAATTAATCAAAAAACTTTTATAAAGAGAAACCTGCTCAAAAATTTTCCATAGATAGACAACTTGTTGAAGAATTTCTTTAAATAGAAAACTGGTTAAACTTTTACTCTAAATTCTAATACAAGTCAAATTTTCGAAATTCTTCCACAAATAATAAAACTGGATGAAATTTTTCTATAATTACAAAACTGGTCGAAAATTTTCTATAAATAGAAAACTGGTCGAAATTCGTTTATAAATTGAAAACTGGTCGAAATTCGTTTATAAATTGAAAACTCATCGAAATTCGTCTATAAATAGCAAACAGGTCGAAGTTCGTCTACAAATAGAAAAGTGGTCGAAATTCCTCTATAAATTAAAAACTAGTCGAAATTCCCCTATAAATTAAAAACTAGTCGAAATTCGTCTATAAATAGAAAACTAGTCCAAATTCTTCTACAAATAGAAAACTGGTCGAAATTCGTCTATAAATTGAAAACTGATCGAAATTCGTCATTATATCTACTACTGTAATAAAGTTCGTTTATAAATTGAAAACTGTTCGAATTTCTTCTGCAAATAGAAAACTGGTCGAAATTCCTTTACAAATTAAAAACTAGTCGAAATTCTTCTACATATAGAAACGTGGTCGAAATTCCTCTATAAATTAAAAACCAGTCGAAATTCGTCTATAAAAAGAAAACTGGTCGAAGTTCGTCTATAAATTGAAAACTGTTCGAAATTCTTCTGCAAATAGAAAACTGGTCGAAATTCCTCTATAAATTAAAAACTAGTCGAAATTCTTCTACAAATAGAAAACTGATCGAAATTCGTTTATAAATTTGAAAACTTGTCGAAATTCTTCTGCAAATAGAAAACTTGTCAAAATTCCTCTATAAATTAAAAACTAGTCGAAAATCTTCCAAAATAGAAAACTAGTCCAAATTCTTCTACAAATAGAAAACTGGTCGAAGTTCGTTTATAAATTGAAAACTCATCGAAATTTGTCTATAAATAGAAAACTGGTCGAAATTCGCCAATATATAGAAAACTGTTCAAAATTCTTGTGCAAATAGAAAACTGGTCGAAATTCTTCTATAAATTAAAAACTAGTCGAAATTCTTCTATAAATTAAAAACTAGTCGAAATTCTTCTACAAAGAGAAAACTGGTCTAAAATCTTCTTTAAGTAGACAACAGGTCGAAATTCTTCAATAAATAGAAAACTGGTCGAAATACTTCAATAAATATAAAACTGGTGAAATTCTTCTATAAATAGAAAAATTGTCGAAAATCTTCTTTAAGTAGAAAACTGGTCGAAATTCGTCTATAAATTGAAAACTGACCGAAGGTCGCCTATAAATAGAAAACTGGTCGAAATTCGTCTAAAAATTTAAAACTGATCGAAATTCGTCAATAAATAGAAAATTGGTCAAAGTTCGTTTATAAATTGATAACTGACCGAAGTTCGCTTATAAATAGAAGCTTACTCTTACTTACTCTTATACAAATAGAAAACTGCTCGATATTCGCCTATAAATTGAAAATTTCTCTATAAATTAAAAACTAGTCGAAATTCTTATACAAATAGAAAACTGGTCGATATTCATCTATTAATAGTTAACCTGTAGAAATCCTTCTATAAATAGAATAGTCGTAAAAGTGTTATAAACTCGTCAATAAATTGAAAACCGAACGAACTATTTATGTAAATAAAATACTGGTCGAAATTCTTCTATAAATAGTAAACTGAGCGAAAATTTTCTATGAAAATAAAACTTGTTGGAAAATCTCTATAAATTGAACACTAAGCCAAAATTTTCTATAAATAAGAAATTTGTCTAATTTTATTTTAAAAATAGAAAACTGGTCGAAAATCTTTAAAATGAAAACTGAAAAAATTCATTTAAAAAAAATCATCTAGAAAAAATTCAATTATAAAACTAAATTAAAATATTTTCTTTATTTTTTAATTTGAAGTTAAAACAAACAAAAGCTCTTTATTCAAAGCAAACTAATTTCACATTTCTGCTAACAAAGTAAACTTAATGACAAATTACTTTACGTTACAATCTGCCAGGACAAATGGTCATCATTATCATCCTAGAGTAACTTAAATTGCCAAAAGCATTACGAACAAATGTTGTTTATTTCCAGTACTTTTCAAAATGTAATGAATACATAATATTTACAATATGTTTGTTTCACTTTTTTCTCAAATGTTTAATAACAAAAATATAATGAACAAGTAATTGTAGGTCATTTGGTAGGTAAAGAACATACTCTCATATACATACATCTGAGTTATTTAAAATATGTGAATTTTTCAAAATCCTGCGGAAAATTAATGCTTAAAACAACCTTCAACTTACGGTTTTTACTGCAAATATTTTTCCGTGCAGCATTAATGTATGTTGTTTATTTTTTTTAAAAGAGAAATTGGTTTGCTGCTTTTTTAGGGAGAAAAAAACGAATATAACAAATTTTCTTCACATGAAAAATTTCTCGTAAATTGTTTGTAAATAGAAAATTTATCAAAGATTTTTTCAAATTAAAAAATCCCAAGAAAAATAATATGAAAACAAGTGCAAACAGCAGCACTTCAAATTCTTAAACTAGCAATTTCGCCATAACTTATAGAACTCATTCTCTGATTCTAAATAAGAAAAAATCTAGTTCCAGAAATGTGGTATACAACGACTAGTTCCGGAGGTGACCATCTCTATAAGAAGTAAATTGAAAAGTTGTCAAAAATTGTCTTTTAAACGAAAACTTGTTGAAATCCTATATAAATGGAAAACTGGTCGAAATTTTTCTACAAATAGAATTCTGGTCGAAATTCGTTCAAAAATAAAATTTTTTCGAAATTTTGCGTTTAATAAAATACTAGTTAATTTTCTTCTATAAATAGAAAACTGATTGAAGAAACTGGACGAAATTATTCTATAAATAGAAAACTTTTCGAATTTTTTTTTTATAAATAGAAAACTGGTCGAAATTTGTCTATAACTGGAGAAGTGGTCAAAGTTCTTCTATAAATAGAAAACTTATCGTAATTCTTCTGTAAACTTGTTTAAATTCTTCTTTAAATAGAAAATTATTCTTTAAATAGAAAAATACTGGTCAAAATTCCTCCTTAAATAGAAAACTTGACGAAAATCTTCCTTAAGTAGAAAATTGGTCGAAGGTATTCTATAAATAGAAAACTGGTCGAAATTCTTCTATAAATATAAAACTTGTCGAAAATCTTCCTTAAGTAGAAAACTGGTCGAAATTCTTCTATAAATATAAAACTTGTCAAAATTCTTCCTTAAGTAGATAACTGGTCGAAATTCTTCTATAAATAGAATACTTGTTGAAAATCTTCCTTAAGTAGAAAACTTGTCGAAATTCTTCTATAAATAGAAAACTGGTTGAAATTCTTCTATAAATAGAAAACTGGTCGAAATTCTTTTATAAATAGAAAACTGGTCGAAATTCTTCTATAAATATTAAACTTGTCGAAAATCTTGCTTAAGTAGGAAACTGGTCGAAATTCTTCTATAAACAGAAAACTGGTCGAAATTCTTCTAGAAATAGAAAACTTGTCAAAAATCTTCCTTAAGTAGAAAACTGGTCGAAATTCTTCTATAAATATAAAACATGTCGAAAATCTTCCTTAAGTAGAAAACTTGTCGAAATTCTTCTATAAACAGAAAACTGGTTGAAATTCTTCTGTAAATAGAGAACTGGTCGAAATTCTTCTATAAATAGAAAACTTGTCGAAAATCTTCCTTAAGTAGAAAACTTGTCGAAATTCTTCTATAAATAGAAAACTGGTCGAAATTTGTCTGTTAATTGAAAAGTGGTCGAAATTCTTCAATAAATAGAAAACTGGTCGAAATTCTTCTATAAATAGAAAACTTGTCGAAAGTCTTCTTTAAATAGAAAACTTGTCGAAAATCTTCTTTAAGTAGAACACTTCTCGATAAGTTCTTAAATAGAAAACTTGTCGAAAATCTTCTACAAATAGAAAACTTGTCAACATTCTTTTAAAAATAGAAAACTGGTCGAAATTGATCTGTTAATTGAACAGTGTTCGAAATTCATCAATAAATAGAAAACTGATCGAAATTCTTCTTTAACTAAAAAACTGGTCAAAGATCTTCTATAAATAGAAAACTTTATAAATAAAAAACTGGTCGAAATTTGTCTTAATTGAAAAGTCGTCGAAATTCTTCAATAAATAAAAAACTGGTCGAAAACCTTCTATAACAGGAAAACTGGTCGAAGTTCTTCTATAGATAGAAAACTTGCAAAAATCTTCTTTAAGTAAAAAACTGGTCGAAATTCTTCAATAAATAGAAAACTGGTCGAAATTCTTCTATAACAGGAAAACTGGTCAAAGTTCTTCTATAAATAGAAAACTTGTCGAAAATCTACTTTAATTAGAAAACCGGTCGAAATTCTTCTATAAATAGAAAAACTTGTCAAAAGTCTTCTTTAAATAGAAAACTTGTGAAAATTCTGTTATAAATAGATAACTTGTCAAAATTTGTCAATTGATTGAAAAGTGGTCGAAATTTTTCAATAAATATAAAACTGGTCGAAATTCTTCTATAACAGGAAAACTGATCAAAGTACTTCTATAAATAGAAAACTTGTCGAAAATATTCTTTAAGTAGTAAACTGCTTGAAATTCTTCAATAAATAGAAAACTGGTCGAAATTCTTCTGTAACTGGATAACTGGTTCTTCTATAAACATAAAACTTATCCAAAATCTTCTATAAATAGAAAACTGATCAAAATTTTTCTATGAATTGAAAACTGGTCGAAATTCTTCTATAACTGGAAAACTGCTCACAGTTCTTCTATAAATAGAAAACTTGTCGAAAATCTTTTCCATGTAGATAACTGGTCGAAATTATTCTATAAATAGAAAACTTGTCGAAAATCTTCTATAAATAGAGAACTATATAGAAAATTCTTCCATAAAAACTGGTCAAAAATTTTCTGCAAATAGAGAACTTATAGAAGATTTCAACTAAAATTTCCTGCGAAAAGAAAATTCATCAAAAGTGACTCCATATAACAGATTTTTAAAAATTTTTCTTTAAATAATAAAATATTTTTAGAAAAATAGTGAGTGGAATTTTAAACGAAATCAAAATAAAATTTTAAAATGTTGAACTCCAGGCTATCAACATATGTTAAAAAGTTTAAAATAAAAAAGAAAATTCGTTTCATATTTTATTAACTCAATATTACAAAAAAATGTGTTTAAACACATTTTCCCGTTAATTTTCTTGGTAAATAAAAATAAAAAACAACATAAACAAAAATAGTAAAAATATAAAAAAATAAATAATAAAAAACAGAAAATATAAAAATAAACATAAACACACATACACAAACTGACTAAAATAAAACTCAGCATGTGTTTGTATATGAATATACCCCTTTGGATAAATGTGGAACGTTTAACGACAGCAATCTCGACAACTGCATCCCAGCTGTTTGATGTTTCTCTAGTCATATTTTTATTAAATTGTAAATCGTCAACAGCGGTAGCAGCAGCGGCAGCAGATATATCAACAACAACAACAGCAAATACATTAAAACCAGCACGTCATGCAAGTAAACAATTAAAACAAACAAATACAATAACAGCAGCAACAACAACAACGTCATCAACAGTATAAACATCGAGCAGCAGCAGCAGCAACTACAGCAGAATCTCTTAATAAGACAAATAAAATTCAACACAGTTCTCTCTATCAAAGCTCATTGTCAACACACAACACACTGCTGCCGTTGTAGATGCCGGTGTTTAACAACAAGACAATCAAAACAATAAAAATATCAGTGAGAAAAAAATTCATAAAATAATTAAAAATTTAATTAAAAAGAAGAAATTTTTTTTTTACAAAATACTTTTGTGTAGTCATACCTGCATTTCTAGCTTTTAGATACGAAAAGAAATACACGAATGCAGTTAATTCTTTGAGAAAAGTGTTTGTGTCAATTCGTTTGTGAGCGAGTGTGTGTTTAATTAAAACGAGTAAACATAAACATACTTACTCTTATCGTATAATTAAAAACAAAAAAAAAAGAGTTAATTAAAAAGTGAACTACATACGCTGTTAAATAAAAGTATAATCTCTACAATAGTGTTAAAGGTAAAAGATATATTTTATTGAAATTAAAAGAATTCGAAAAACCATTTTATCCTAAAAAGCTCCTACCTGTCATTTAGTGTATCTTACATGACCAAAAAATACAACTACTGTCAAAATATCATGATTTTAGGTTTAGCCTTTTAGTCTGTACAATAATCAATCAGTCGTAACACGACTCTTCTACATATAAATATAGATTACGAAGGTCTATAACAGACATTTTCAATATGTTACAAACAAAATTAAAAACTCAACATACCATCCAATTATTTGTATGTTTACTGTTAAATACCAAACAAACACACGCGCTCATTTTTAAACAAATACGAATTTAAAAATGTTTTAAAATTTAATAATTGAAATGTGATAAAAGCTTCTGTGAATATATCAAAAATTGAATAAATTTGAAAACATCTTGATTTTGTAATTGATATTTGTTTGCGAAGTAATTTGTAGAAACAAAATTTACATAATTAAATATACAAAAATTTATAAATTTACATAACGTGACGTGAAATAAAGTAGAGAGAAAAAATAAATGCAATAATTATCAGATTTCATTTGACATATTGAAAGAAAATCAATTAAAAAATTACATATATTTACCCTCATTAGATATATAGACTATAGACCAGACTATAGTCCAGACTATAGATTAGACTATAGTCCAGACTATAGACTAGACTATAGTCCAGACTATAGACTAGACTATAGTCCAGACTATAGACTAGACTATAGTCCAGACTATAGACTAGACTATAGTCCAGACTTTAGACTAGACTATAGTCTAGACTATAGACTAGACTTAGCCAGTATGTAAGCAGACTATAAGTCTATAACCAGACTACAGTTCTGACTATAGTACAGCCTGTAGACTAAACTATAGTCCAGACTATAGACTAGACTAATGTCCAAATTCCAGACAATAGAATAGACTGTAGTCCAGAATATAGAATAGAATAGTCCAGACCACAGACTAGACAAAAAGTCCAGACTATAGACTAGATTTGGGCTATAGACTAGAATATAGTCTAGACTAGACTATAGACTAGACTATAGACTATAGACTATAGACTAGACTATAGACTAGACTATAGACTTAGACTATAGACTAGACTATAGACTAGACTATAGACTAGAGTCTAGTCTATAGTCTAGTCTATAGACTAGTCTATAGACTAGACTATAGACTAGACTATAGACTAGACTATAGACTAGACTATAGACTATAGACTAGACTATAGACTAGGACTATAGACTAGACTATAGACTAGACTATAGACTAGACTATAGACTAGACTATAGACTAGACTATAGACTAGACTATAGACTAGACTATAGACTAGACTATAGACTAGACTATAGACTAGACTATAGACTAGACTATAGACTAGACTATAGACTAGACTATAGACTAGACTATAGACTAGACTATAGAATAGACTATAGAATAGACTATAGACTAGACTATAGACTAGACTATAGACTAGACTATAGACTAGACTATAGACTAGACTATAGACTAGACTATAGACTAGCCTATAGACTAGACTATAGACTAGACTATAGACTAGACTATAGACTAGACTATAGACTACACTATAGACTACACTATAGATTACACTATAGACTAGACTATAGACTAGACTATAGATTACACTATAGACTAGACTATAGACTAGACTATAGACTAGACTATAGACTAGACTATAGACTAGACTATAGACTAGACTATAGACTAGACTATAGACTAGACTATAGAGTAGACTATAGACTAGACTATAGACTAGACTATAGACTAGACTATAGACTAGACTATAGACTAGACTATAGACTAGACTATAGACTAGACTATAGACTAGACTATAGACTAGACTATAGACTAGACTATAGACTAGACTATAGACTAGACTATAGACTAGACTATAGACTAGACTATAGACTAGACTATAGACTAGACTATAGACTAGACTATAGACTAGACTATAGACTAGACTATAGACTAGACTATAGACTAGACTATAGACTAGACTATAGACTAGACTATAGACTAGACTATAGAATAGACTAGACTAGACTATAGACTAGACTATAGACTAGACTATAGACTAGACTATGACTAGACTATAGACTAGACTATAGACTAGACTATAGACTAGACTATAGAATAGACTATAGACTAGACTATAGACTAGACTATAGACTAGACTATAGACTAGACTATAGACTAGCCTATAGACTAGCCTATAGACTAGACTATAGACTAGACTATGACTAGACTATAGACTAGACTATAGACTAGACTATAGACTAGACTATAGACTAGACTATAGACTAGACTATAGACTAGACTATAGACTAAACTATAGACTAGACTATAGACTAGACTATAGACTAGACTATAGAATAGACTATACTAGACTATAGACTAGATAGACTAGACTAGACTAGACTATAGACTAGACTATAGACTAGACTATAGACTAGCCTATAGACTAGACTCTAGACGAACATAGACTAGACTCTAGACTAGACTTAGACTAGACTATAGACTAGACTATAGACTAGACTATAGACTAGACTATAGACTAGACTATAGACTAGACTATAGACTAGACTATAGACTAGACTATAGACTAGACTATAGACTAGACTATATACTAGACTATAGAGACTATAGACTAGACTATAGACTAGACTATAGACTAGACTATAGACTAGACTATAGACTAGACTATAGACTAGACTATGACTAGACTATAGACTAGACTATAGACTAGACTAGACTAGAATATAGACTAGACTATAGACTAGACTATAGACTAGACTATAGACTAGACTATAGACTAGACTATAGACTAGACTATAGACTAGACTATAGACTAGACTATAGACTAGACTATAGACTAGACTATAGACTAGACTATAGACTAGACTATAGACTAGACTATAGACTAGACTATAGACTAGACTATAGACTAGACTATAGACTAGACTATAGACTAGACTATAGACTAGACTATAGACTAGACTATAGACTAGACTATAGACTAGACTACTAGACTATAGACTAGACTAGACTAGACTATAGACTAGACTATAGACTAGACTATAGACTAGACTATAGACTAGACTATAGACTAGACTATAGACTAGACTATAGACTAGACTATAGACTAGACTATAGACTAGACTATAGACTAGACTATAGACTAGACTATAGACTAGACTATAGACTAGACTATAGACTAGACTATAGACTAGACTATAGACTAGACTATAGAATAGACTATAGACTAGACTATAGAATAGACTAGACTAGACTATAGACTAGACTATAGATAGACTATAGACTAGACTATAGACTAGACTATAGAATAGACTATAGACTAGACTATAGACTAGACTATAGACTAGACTATAGACTAGACTATAGACTAGACTATAGACTAGACTATAGACTAGACTATAGACTAGACTATAGACTAGACTAGACTAGACTATAGATTACACTATAGACTAGACTATAGGACTAGAGTTTTCAATGGAATCATTCAAATCAATTCCTATTTTTTTAGAATTTTAATTTGAAATGTTTCTTTTTTACAAAAAAACTGTTTAGATATATCCCATATTCAAGATAATTTCTATCAATTATAATAAAATCTATTAAAATCTAAAATTTATTATAAGCAAAAACCAATAAATAATGAAACTATCAGCACTAACACTTCATCGCATAAACATACATAAATAGATTTTCCGATTTTCCTATCGCAGCACTTGTGAGTAATAAATTTTATTTGCCATTTTTGCTTGTTTCATTTTATTTTCTCTGGTTTATTTTTCGACCATAATCTCCATAAAATATGATAGATATTTATCAGCCAAAAAAATGGAAAAAATAAATAAAAATATTATTTATTTAAAAATGAACATTTTCATTCTTTTGTTGTTAGTGTAAGTGTGTTTAAAAAATTGTTTATTGTCTCATGAAACAATAATAAATTTTATTTATTATTTTGTTCATCAAACAGAAAACTGCATTAGAACCCCCCACAAAGCGGAGTTTAAATTTAGAGAAAAAAATTAAATTTGAAAAAAAAATATTTTATTGAAATTAGCCAATTTATGATTTTGGTTGGCTAAATGTTGATGATACATTTTTAATATGTTTAGAAAAAGTAAATATTAAAGAAAATAATTGGGTCTATTCGACTCTAACATATCCTACATGAAATTGATCAAAAAACCACGACTACCTCGATTTTGTGATGCTATAGTCACATTAGTATGCTAATATAAAAGTTAGTTAAATATCTAAAAATTTGAAAATCTATAAATTAATAACTCTTAAATTCAATGTTGTTATACCGCTGTTATAGTCAAAAGGATGACACTCATGTATTTGAGTGTATTCCAGTTTCATTTTCATTTTTTACGACGAGTTTATTTTGCGATATGTACAAAAAAAAAAAAAAAAATAAACAAACAAAAAGTAAAAACCCTAGACCAAAATGATAAATTCGCTTCAGACAAATAAACCAACAAACAAATGAACAAAACTACACGAGAAAACTGAAACAATTCTAAAAAGAAAAATGTTAAAAAAGATTTATGATATGACATGTTACTATTATGTTCACATTTATCAAAAAAATAAAAGTGAACAAAATTGAAATTAAAGGAACAACAACAACAGCATTAACAAAAAACAAAGAGGAAAGAAAAACGAAAATGTAGAACTCAAAATATAAAAAATGAAAAACTGAAAGAGTTTGTAAAAAATACAAGTGTAACTATGCATCCTGTGACAGGGAAACTTTAAATATCCTTTTCTGTGGCGCACAGTGCAGCAAAGAGATGGAAATAGTTAACGTTGGGTAACGAATTATACAAAACGAATATAGATAGATAGATAGATAGAGAGATAGATAGATAGTAGATAGATAGATAGATAGATAGATAGATAGATAGATAGATAGATAGATAGATAGATAGATAGATAGATAGATAGATAGATAGATAGATAGATAGATAGATAGATAGATAGATAGATAGATAGATAGATAGATAGATAGATAGATAGATAGATAGATAGATATCGATAGATAGATAGATAGATAGATAGATAGATAGATAGATAGATAGATAGATAGATAGATAGATAGATCGATAGATAGATAGATAGATAGATAGATAGATAGATAGATAGATAGATAGATAGATAGATAGATAGATAGATAGATAGATAGATAGATAGATAGATAGAGATAGATAGATAGATAGATAGATAGATAGATAGATAGATAGATAGATAGATAGATAGATAGATAGATAGATAGATAGATAGATAGATAGATAGATAGATAGATAGATGAGATAGATAGATAGATAGATAGATAGATAGATAGATAGATAGATAGATAGATAGATAGATAGATAGATAGATAGATAGATAGATAGATAGATAGATAGATAGATAGATAGATAGATAGATAGATAGATAGATAGATAGATAGATAGATAGATAGATAGATAGATAGATAGATAGATAGATAGATAGATAGATAGATAGATAGATAGATAGATAGATAGATAGATAGATAGATAGATAGATAGATAGATAGATAGATAGATAGATAGATAGATAGATAGATAGATAGATAGATAGATAGATAGATAGATAGATAGATAGATAGATAGATAGATAGATAGAAGATAGATAGATAGATAGATAGATAGATAGATAGATAGATAGATAGATAGATAGATAGATAGATAGATAGATAGATAGATAGGATAGATAGATAGATAGATAGATAGATAGATAGATAGATAGATAGATAGATAGATAGATAGATAGATAGATAGATAGATAGATAGATAGATAGATAGATAGATAGATAGATAGATAGATAGATAGATAGATAGATAGATAGATAGATAGATAGATAGATAGATAGATAGATAGATAGATAGATAGATAGATAGATAGATAGATAGATAGAGATAGATAGATAGATAGATAGATAGATAGATAGATAGATAGATGAGATAGATAGATAGATAGATAGATAGATAGATAGATAGATAGATAGATAGATAGATAGATAGATAGAGAGATAGATAGATAGATAGATAGATAGATAGATAGATAGATAGATAGATAGATAGATAGATAGATAGATAGATAGATAGATAGATAGATAGATAGATAGATAGATAGATAGATAGATAGATAGATAGATAGATAGATAGATAGATAGATAAATAGATAGATAGATAGATAGATAGATAGATAGATAGATAGATAGATAGATAGATAGATAGATAGATAGATAGATAGATAGATAGATAGATAGATAGATAGATAGATAGATAGATAGATAGATAGATAGATAGATAGATAGATAGATAGATAGATAGATAGATAGATAGATAGATAGATAGATAGATAGATAGATAGATAGATAGATAGATAGATAGATAGATAGATAGATAGATAGATAGATAGATAGAGATAGATAGATAGATAGATAGATAGATAGATAGATAGATAGATAGATAGATAGATAGATAGATAGATAGATAGATAGATAGATAGATAGGATAGATAGATAGATAGATAGATAGATAGATAGATAGATAGATAGATAGATAGATAGATAGATAGATAGATAGATAGATAGATAGATAGATAGATAGATAGATAGATAGATAGATAGATAGATAGATAGATAGATAGAGAGATAGATAGATAGATAGATAGATAGATAGATAGATAGATAGATAGATAGATAGATAGATAGATAGATAGATAGATAGATAGATAGATAGATAGATAGATAGATAGATAGATAGATAGATAGATAGATAGATAGATAGATAGATAGATAGATAGATAGAACAGATGAAATAGATGATAAACCAGGTAAAAAAGGCAGAACAGATAGCACAGATTCAACAGTCAGAAGAGATAGAATAGTTAGAATAGATAGTACAGATATATTGTTGGGGATTGTATAGTATAAGATTAACTTATCCTCTTGCTTTTTTCTCAAAAACTGTAATTTCACTTAAAATTACAATGTACAAAACAAATTAAGCCAGTTCCATATAACTCTCCATATTTAATTACTATCGAATTAAATTATTTTATATCTGTTTTTCTTTTTATCTGCAGTAATTGTTTAAAAATATGTTGTTGTTTTATTTCGTGGCCACAAAATAATTACCTAACAAATTGTTTTATTGTTAATAAGCGTTTAAAGATGTCTATAGTTCTTTGGCGAATAAAATTTCACAACAATTGAAATGAACACAGAAATTATTATGAATAAGAGCAATTATGTTCATTAAGAGCTAATTTGATAATTTCAAACGTTAAATGATGTTTTTGTTATAACAAACGAGGGTGATTGTAATTGTGAAATGTGATAATCATTTATAGAAAAGTTAAGCCATTAAGGTGAATCAAATAATTTTGGAATGTGAATTGTGTGACTAGAATATGATTAGAGTATGACTAAACTATGGCTAGACTATGACTAGACTATAGCTAGACTATGACTAGACTATGACTAGACTATGACTAGACTATGACTAGACTATGACTAGACTATGACTAGACTATGACTAGACTGACTAGACTAGACTAGACTATGACTAGACTATGACTAGACTATGACTAGACTATGACTAGACTATGACTAGACTATGACTAGACTATGACTAGACTATGACTAGACTATGACTAGACTATGACTAGACTATGACTAGACTATGACTAGACTATGACTAGACTATGACTAGACTATGACTAGACTATGACTAGACTATGACTAGACTATGACTAGACTATGACTAGACTATGACTAGACTATGACTAGACTATGACTAGACTATGACTAGACTATGACTAGACTATGACTAGACTATGACTAGACTATGACTAGACTATGACTAGACTATGACTAGACTATGACTAGACTATGACTAGACTATGACTAGACTATGACTAGACTATGACTAGACTAGACTAGACTATGACTAGACTATGACTAGACTATGACTAGATGACTAGACTATGACTAGACTATGACTAGACTATGACTAGACTATGACTAGACTATGACTAGACTATGACTAGACTATGACTAGACTATGACTAGACTATAACTAGACTATGACTAGACTATGACGACTATGACTAGACTATGACTAGACTATGACTAGACTATAACTAGACTATGACTAGACTATGACTAGACTATGACTAAACTATGACTAGACTATGACTAGACTATTTCATTTCTCTTCCTCTCAAAATATACATATGTTGTACCCTCGTAATACTGACGCAGTCGTACAAAATATTTATGTTGCATGTACAATAGGCATATAAGTACTATTTCATGTTATAAAGTGTGTAAATATTTTTTTGAATAAAAAGCATTAACTTTCTGTTGAAATTAAAACCCAATTAAAAACACTGTTTATTAAATAAATAAATCCACATAATGTGCAGATTTTATTACAAAACTTATTTTTTAGTTTTGTTTTCAACCTGCAACTATAAAACCATACTGTACAGATGAGCGTATAATTAATGTGAAATTAAAGTAGACGATTAAAATATTATTCATACGCTGTGAAGGTAAAAGAAATATGAAAATAAAAATCAGAGAAATACGGTATTTTTTTATAATTTTATAAATATTAAAGAACTTTGCTTTAAATGGTGAACTTCTTTCTTTAAGTGTTAGTAATTTCCTTTTGCTTTTATCTCTCGTAATAAAATATACATGGCTTTTTTTCTTAGCATTTTATAGCTTTTTAAATTATGTTGCATAATTTTGACTGACTTTAAATGTGCGCTTTTCTCACTCATTACAAATTTATTAAATTCATCTTTTCCAGCTTGATTGTAGGATTTCCTGAAAAAATACAACGAGACAAGAGAATTCACATTAGGAAAGACCTTTAAAACTAAATGTCTTGATGTTTTAAGAAGTTAGAATATACAAACAAAACGTCAACAGGAAGAAGTATTAGAAATGTTTGTGGCAAAAATCAAATGAATTATAGTGCCAAAAAGCGAAAAAAGGAAAAAGAATTGGAGCTGAAACTGGATTTTGAGGGGCATGACGACTGTGGCAAGGAGGAAATACAAACGGGTAAAGAAAACAATATTGTTATGCCAACAGACAGAACAAATATATTAAAAGAAAAGAAGGCGGAAGAAGACGAACAACAACAGTTGGCAAAACAAATGAATGACACAGCAGCACCTTTGCAGTTGCCAGAACAAAACAAACGAAAAACAACAATCCAAATGGCCTCGACTGAAGATTCAACAAAAAGGACTAATTTCTCAACAACAACAACAGCATCAGCATTGACATGTGAACCAGCAGATAATACGTCAGCAGGTAAATGGAAAAATTGCCAATGCAATTTGCAAAGCGATCAACATTTAAAAGAAAATCAAAAACAACAAGAGCATCATCATCATCACAACCACCACGATTATGAGCCACTTTATCTACATCAGCCAAAGGCAACATGTAAACAATCAAACATACCTCCTTCTCCTCCCACCCCTCCAGCCAATGTTATAACATCGCTTGCCACTGTCTATATATGTTTGGGTATATTGACTTGGCTCTAGCCTCCCTATCTGTGTTATTTTACTCACATGTAGTCTCCTGCACTACAACCTGCCAAAATTCAACAACATCATCCTTACTTAACAACCAGCAAATGGCAGAGACGAGTTCTGGGGAAAACCTCCCCAAAGAATTTCCATCATCGTCATCATCTGCGCCTCTAACGTTACCCATGTTTCGTGAACAATTTCAACAGGAATTATTTGCCTCGGAACATGTGCTGCGCTCCATGATTGAACAAATTTTATAAAACAGTCATCAGCTGGCAATGGGGAACAGAACGACATCAACAACTACAAAATGAAAAATCTTTCTTTAGGGAATTTAAACGATCAAAGGTGAGCTATACTGTGCTTGATTTTTCTTTCTTTTTTTCCACTTTTATTAAAAATTTACATACATACTTGTACACAAGTAGAATTTATGAGATTATTTTCATATAATCGCTTTAAAATCAATCGAATTTTATTGCATTTGGAAAAAGAATATTTTCAAATGAAAAAGATAAAACGAAAAAGACATTTAAGAGACGACAACATATTTGTTGTTAGACAATTGCTGTTAAATGTGGATGAAAATTTAATAATGTTCCCCATACCAATACGTATAGTGGGGTTTGTTGCATCGGAAAATTGTTTTCAAGAAAACATTTTTATTAAAATGCACATCGGGGGAAAATCAATTTTTAGAACTAAGTTTAAATTCTAGAAAAAGACAATTTCAGGTGACAATATCGGGTTTTATTGCATATTACATTTTTGAAGGACTAGACTATTGAATAGACTAAAAACTGGACTATAGACTAGACTATAGACATATCTATAGACAAGATTATTGCCTAGATAAGACAACAGACTACACTATGGACTACACTATAGACTAGACTATAGACTAGACTATAAACTAGACTACAGACTATACGTCGACTACACTATAAACTAGAATATAGACTAGACTAGAGACTATACTATAGACTGGACTATAGACTAGACTATAGACTAGACTATAGACTATAGATTATAGGCTATAGATTATAGACTATAGACTAGACTAGACTAGACTATAGACTAGACTAGACTAGACTAGACTAGACTAGACTAGACTATAGACTAGACTATATACTAGACTATAGACTAGACTATAGACTAGACTATAGACTAGACTATAGACTAGACTATAGACTAGACTATAGACTAGACTATAGACTAGACTATAGACTAGACTATAGACTAGACTATAGACTAGACTATAGACTAGACTATAGACTAGACTATAGACTAGACTATAGAGAGACTATAGACTAGACTATAGACTAGACTATAGACTAGACTATAGACTAGACTATAGACTAGACTATAGACTAGACTATAGACTAGACTATAGACTAGACTATAGACTAGACTATAGACTAGACTATAGACTAGACTATAGACTAGACTATAGACTAGACTATAGACTAGACTATAGACTAGACTATAGACTAGACTATAGACTAGACT